AGATTGCGTTTTCTTGACGGGCTTCTTCTCTTCCTCGTCTTCGCTGTCTTCCTCTCCGTCGGAAAGTTCCTCATCATCCTCGTCGTCTTCGTCTTCGTCCTCATTCTCGTCATCCTCGTCCTCGAGGTTCATGATATGGTTCTTCATGAAGTTTTCCAGATCTGCGTCAGCTCCGGTGAGCTCCTTGCTGGCATTCTCGTCTTCGGCTGCATCTTCCTCCTCCTCCCCCTCCTCGTTCTTCTTCTTTGAATCTCTTTCCTCTTCCCTCGCGCCGTTGGCCTTTTCCCATTCGTCCTTGCCCACAGCCCAATCAACGGCAATGGTTCTTCCGTCAATGGTCTTTCCGTTCATCTCCAAAGCCTTCTCAGCATTTTTCCTGCCGCGAAGGGTAACGAAACCAAATCCTTTGAGCTTGCCCTTGTTCTGGGGAAGATCGGCGAACTTGACAATGCCATAGGCGCGGAAAAGCGCACCCAGCTGCGCAGAAGACTTGATAGACCAAGGAAGGTTGCGAATGATTAGCTTCGGGGCTTTCCTCGCTTCCTCAAGATCATCCGCACGCTTTTGCTTTGCGCTAGATGCGGCCGCGCCAACGGCACTCTCCTTTGCGTCACGAGTTCTAGCTTCGGCAACATCGACCTTGATGCGGCGTCCCTCCCAGAGAATGTTGTTGAGCTTCTTCTTGGCCTCCGTAGCATCTTCAGCATCTGTCAATGTAACGAAGCCATAGCCTCGGGAAGCTTTGGTCGCCTTGTCGAGAACAACGGTCGCATGCTTGACAGGGAAATGTTCGGAGAAGAAATCGGTGAGCGATTCGCTGGTGGCGGTCGCAGGCAGGGAGCGAACGAAAAGAGAGCGATTGGCTTCTGTTCGGGCCTTCTTGGCTTTCGGTTCCGACACAGCGTCTGCGGCGATGTTCTCTGCAACGGCGGCTGCGACGAGAGCATCGTGCTCGTCTTCCTCAGCTCGAGACCGCTTAAGCGGCTTTCCGGGAGACGACATGTTGTACAGTAATAATCGGGAAAAAAAGAAATCTCTGCGAACGGCTTCCCAAGAGAAAGAACGGGATCAGTTAAAGTTGAAACCCCCAACTACCGTAGGTTGTGGAGAGGCTTCGTTCTCTGCGCAGGAAATGGCTGGCAATTCGCTGCTGCCAAATTCTTCGATAAGGATTTTTTTCTAAGCTTATCACCACGTGCGGGCACTTGAAGTCGGGAAGCGGGGATGAAGTCGACCGACCCCGCGCTATACCTGTTCCGGAAGTCTATTGACTCGCCCGTTGCAGACTGGATAAAAACAAAAACGCGCCGGGGGGTAAGTCACCCACTGTAATTGTGTGCGTTGACAGCTAATTCGCGAACGGGGCGCCTGTCATCCATCCTTAAGACTAATCAACAAACACATCATTTTTTGGCTTCATTAACAACGACAACTTTTCCGAAGTTTCACGCGGTCTCGACCAATCCGCCGCCATATAACGACAATACACGACGACAAATCTCATTATGCCGGCACGAGTATCGACAAGGTCCACGAGGACCTCAGCGGCAGTGTCGCACAAATCCTCAGCAGCGACCCTTGGCTCCCGAGCATCAACAGCATCCCGCTCCTCATCAGTCGCCGCAGATATCCCGACCGAAAGACCGGACAGTGAGCTCCGCGGCCAAGTATGCGCCGTGTTCCGCGATGCGCAAAGAAATACAGCATCGCACCGCAAGTTGGTTGTGACATTGCGCAAGATCCAGGAAGCTTGCGCATACGAACCGACCAGTCTGAAGAAGACCGCAGCAAGCGACTTCGATGAGGAAGCCTTCAACTCCGAGTTCGTCCGATGTGTCCTAAGAGTCATGCCTATCAAGAAGGCAGAGAGTGTTGGAGAGAAGACCATTCGGTTTGTCGGATTCTTCCTTAGACACGCCAACGACAAAGACAACGAGATTCTTGGAGAGGTCGACGAGGATGCTAGCATCATGCCCGAGACCCCCAGCACAAGACTCACCAGCTATCTCATGAGCACAATTTTGCCCCTGATGACGGCCAAGGACAAGTTTGTGCGATACCGATCCACCCAGTTGATCTCTCATATCATCAACTCCCTCGACGCCATCGACGACGATCTCTTCCAAAAACTTCGCCATGGTCTTCTTAAGCGTATCCGTGACAAGGAGGCAATGGTTCGTGCACAAGCGGTTCTGGGTCTGGGACGTTTGGCCGGCAATCAGGTTGATGCCGCCGCGAATGAGGACGATAGCGAGGACGACGAGGCCAGCGGCCTTCTCGAGAAGCTGTTAGAGGTTATACAGAACGACCCTAGCGCAGATGTGAGAAGGTCACTTCTCGTCAATCTGCCTATTCTCCCATCCACCCTACCATACTTGCTCGAACGCGCTAGAGACCAGGATGCTTTGACTCGCAGAGCGGTCTACTCGCGACTGCTTCCCGCCCTCGGCGACTTCCGACATCTCTCTCTCTCAATGAGAGAGAAGCTCCTCAGATGGGGTCTCCGCGACAGAGACGAGAATGTCCGCAAGTCGGCGGGCAGGCTGTTCCGTGAACGCTGGATCGAGGACTGCGCTGGTGTTCCGCCGCCTGAGGAGGGCGCGCCACCCGCTGAACCTGCACCGCCAAACTTCGACGGTCTTCACGAGCTCCTAGAGCGTATCGACGTCGTGAACTCTGGAGTGGAAAATGGCGTTGCCCTCGAAGCGATGAAGGGATTCTGGGAGGGTAGACCCGATTACAGAGAAGCTGTCACCTTTGATAAGAACTTTTGGGAGACGCTCTCTGCAGAATCAGTCTTTACTGCTCGAAGTTTCAACGACTTCTGCAGAACCGAGGGCAATGGCAAGTACGAGTCACTGGTCGAGGAGAAGCTGCCTGAAGTGACTACGCTCGCATTCTATCTGGAAAGATACCTCGGCGTTCTGATTGAGGCTATCAAGAGGGTCTCTCAGGTAGATAGCGAAGAAGATGAAGAAGAGGACACGGTAGAGCAAGAGTTCATTGTTGAGCAGATGCTCCACATTGCCATCACTCTTGACTACTCCGATGAGGTTGGCCGTCGCAAGATGTTTGCGCTCCTCCGCCAATCCCTCTCAGTCCCCGAGCTCCCTGACGATGTAACAAAGCTCACGATCAACGTTCTCCGAGACATTTGTGCTCCGGACAACGCCGGTGAGAAAGAGTTCTGCTCAGTGGTATTGGAGGCTGTTGCCGACGTTCATGATACTATCGTTGACGACCCAGCGCCTGATGACCGTACCGACGACAGCTTTCACTCGGCGAGATCCGAGGTCAGTGGTGACACCACCCCCACGAGGAGTGGGAGCCGGAACAAGAGTCCCGAGCTCAGTGAAGAAGAGGCCAGGGCAAAGGCGGTCAAGGAAATTATGATCAACATGAAGTGTCTGCATATTGTGCAGTGCATGTTATCAAACGTCGCTGGCGACCTGCAGCAGAACGACCACCTGGTGTCGATGCTTAACAATCTTGTCGTCCCAGCTGTGCGAAGTCACGAAGCACCCGTCCGTGAGAGAGGTCTCGTCTGCTTAGGTCTCTGTTCCCTGCTCGACAGGTCACTGGCCGAGGAGAACCTGACGCTGTTCATGCACTTCTTTACCAAGGGCCACACTGCCCTACAAATCACCGCGTTGCAAATTCTCACTGATATCCTCAACGTCCATGGCGCTCAGCTATTGAGCTCAACGCCAGCGTTGCTCAAGATCTACATCAAGGCGCTCAAGTCGGGCATCAGATCCCCCGAGGTCCAGGCTGCCGCTACCTTGGCGGTATCCAAGCTGCTTCTGGGCCGTGTTGTCACGGATCAGGAAGCTTCAGCGGAAATGCTCAAGACGCTGGTTGTCCAATACTTCGATCCTGTCACTGCATCCAACCAGAGCGTCAGGCAGGCTCTCAACTATTTCCTGCCCGTGTTCTGCTACTCGCGGGCGGAGAACCAGGATCTCATGCGCACCGTCGCTCTGGACGCCCTGCATGCCTTGTTGAACGTCCGTGAGAATTTGGAGGACGATGACGCCGATGTCAATGAGGAGATGGAGAGTCTGACGACGATTGGTGCTTGCCTGGTGGACTGGACTGATCCTCGCAAGTGCTTCAACCCTGCTACTGGGCTCGACTTGGAGAAGAAGACTGTTAATGGTGATATTCATCTGGAATTCGCTCTAGACATTCTGGACCGCTTAGGCGGAAACTTGAGCAGTAGGTTATTTCATTGTGATCCACTCATGTTCAGAACATCAGCGCTAACCCACAATCTCAGAGGAAGAGAAAAAGGTGGTCGCACCCCTCCTCGGAAAGCTTTACATCTCGCCTACAAGCACAGAAGAAAAGATTAGGGAGGTTTACGACGAGATCACCATTGCCGTCAACGACAAACTCGTCACCGACACCACAGGCCGCAACGCCCTCAACAAGATCCACGTCAGCCTAGGCAAGATCGTCGCCAATCTCGGCGAGCAGCAGGACGGCGAGCCGCGCCGCATGAGCAGGAGCGTCTCCGTCGCCATGTCGCGTGCGGACTCGGTCGCGCCGTCTGTCGCCGGTTCTGTCGCGTCCTCGAGGCTGCACGACGCCGACGAGGACAAGACCATTACGATGGAGCCTGATATTAAGGAGGAAGACGAGAATAGCGATGATACCGTGATTCAGAACACGCGGCAGGATGACGGTGACTCGATTGTGAGCGAGCTGCTCTCGGATGAGGAGGGCGCGTGAGTGAGTATCATGGCAAATGGGATGGGTTCTTTCAATTCGGGTGGTATGTTTTTGGCTTGACGGATACCTATCCCCGGATCCCGGGAGCATTGCGGAACGGTTTTCTCTACAAGAATTTATGATCTATGTACTAGTAATGATGAACTCCTTGCAGGATTGACAATGTATTTGCTGTTTTCATCCTTTTCAACGCGTTCTGCTTAGTCTTACAAGCCTTCTACTACCTACGGTAGGTAGTTGGCGAATAGTGGTGAATGCTTCGTATATCAAGCCGATCCCAAACGGTACAACAAACCAGCAAATACGACGTTGACGAGAAGATGCTGGCCGATGGTCCAGGCCATGCAGTACAGGTACTTTGGCGAAAATACGGTCCAGACAAACAGGTGCGTCCGCAGCGCCTCGCACGCCACCATGACGAACGCGACGCTGCACGCCGTGAACAAGGTCGTGTGCCCTATGTGTCGCAAAAACACGTACCTGCCTTCGTCGCTGCCGGCTCTGCGGCCGCGGTACTGCAGGAGGAGCAGGTTCGTTGCGGACGCCCAGTAGATGGGGCCGACCCAGTTGCTCACAAAGGTCAGGATGCCGACGGCGACGACGTCGAAGCCCCCCACGCCGTTGTAGGCGCTCGAGAGATCGACGGAGGAGATTGCGTTTGTGCCGCCAAAGGCGAAGAAGGAGGCGTACTGGAGGAGGAGGGAGGTCGTAGATAGGAGGGGCAGGGAGAGGTCGAGAGAGGCGAGAAGAGGTAGTTGGAGGGTGAAGAGGAGGAGGAGGGGGATATTTGTGACGCGGGATTGGGTTGCGAGGAGGAGGGTGATGAGGTGGTGAAGGAGGGGGGATGTGTGCCGTGACTCGGTCTTTGGGTTGGAGAGGGCTAGGTAGGATGAGTAGAGGGCTGCGGCGCCGATGCCGGCGAAGACGAGGCGGGCTCGGGTGACGAGAGAGATGCCCTGGGTTAGGGTGTTGAGGGTTGCTAGGGGCCCGGTCACGAGCTCCGGTGCGTCTTCGTTGGTAAAGGCGAGCTTGAACGTGAAGGCGGAGAGGACTAGAAGAGCCGACGCAGCTGTCACGCCGGCGCGGGGAAGGCCGCGGAGTTTTCTAAGTAGTTGTACAAAAAGGAAAAGATAGGTTACGCTGACAAGGGTCCAAAGGATGGGAGGGCGTGTAACGATGAAGGTTTTAGCGATATCGGGCTCGCCGGCGTGCTTCTGGCCTGTCTGGTTCCATCCCCGGATCAGTCTAGTTGCTGTCAGGGCGATGAGAAGAGATACTAGTGTTCCTGATGGCGACCGGGTGCTGTAGCTCATGTCAGTCTTTGTGATTGTGAGTGCTAACAGTATGCTTGGCACTTACGACTGCATCTTTTTGATGCCCATGGAGCCCAGCCAGGCCGATGTGGCCCAATACCAGAAATGGTGTTCTTCTTCTACGTAGCTGCTCGCGAACATCATGATGCCGTACGTAACTGAGATGGCCAGTAGCGGTATCAAACTAAGTCGAGCGCCGAATATCAGGGAACTGGCAACGAAGCCGACAACTGCTTCGCCGATATGTAACCTTCCCATGTCGTAGTTGCTGGCCATGCTGCTCATCAGATCCTGCGCTCTGCTGAGCCACTATTGGATGTCAGCACAGATTCATGGTTTGATGCACTGAGGTCAGGGTGTTGACGTACCTTTGACATGGCTTCACGCCAGGTTGGATCTAACTCGGCCTCGCCATCCATGGTTTTGAGTGCATCATTGACGCGGTGCCATTCACAAGCTAGCTCCTGGGCATCATCCCGAGGATTTGAGCACGTTTTTTGATCAAAGGTAGACCCCAAGTCAAACATCTCGGAGCCAAAAGTTACTGTCACAATGTTCAGTATCTGCCGGGCATTGCGGACGAGCAGTTGGATCTGATCATTTCCTGTCAAGTGTGAGCCACTACGTAACCGAAGCTGGAGCCTGCATAAACTCACTGTCGGGCCAGAAAGGCAGGAAGTCGGATATGAAGGCGCCAAGGTTATTTTGCGGCACCGGAAAGCCCAGCAGAGCACCGAGGGTGGGTGCCAGGTCTGACTGCTCAATCTTGGTGTAGTAGGAGAAGTCCTCTCGAAATGGAACAGGAGCTTGGAGGTTCCGTTGCAAAGCCTTTAGTTTGGGAGAGATAAAAACGAGCGCCGGAGAGGTTTCGCCGGGAGAAGAAGCTCCATGATTGCCGGCATCGTTCATACCGTGATCTCCGCAGAGAACCATCAATGTGGAAGCCATATGTTCTCGTGATTCCATGGCGTTGTATATACGCTTCACAATACCGTCCATCTCATGTTGCTTGGGTACCATGTGTGAGCTAACTATAGTCAGCAAGGGAGATTCGGAAGGCGATCCAAAGCTAATCTTACCTTCGCGGTCCTGATTTATGCCCGATGTGATCGAGCCCAAGGTAGTGGAGAACTAACGTGCTCCAATCGTCATTCTTCAGCTCGCTGTCTATGTGCCTGGTGACATTGTTGTCCACTTCGGTGAAGTCCTTAGACCAGTCAGTTAAGGGACAGCAAGGGATGATCACGAAGACGACGCACTGCTACGAAGAAGCTCGCGGTGCCATCGGCACGGTCAAAAGTGCCCGGGAAGAGCTTCAGCCATGTATCATCGCCGTACATGAGCATTTTCCCCGTCTCCTTGGCTTTCATCTGGGCAAGCCAGGTATCTTGAGCAGCGAGAGTCGAGGACGAATCTGCTTCGTCCAGGTTCAAGATGACGTCCAGGAAAGACGGGATTGAGCCAGTGGTGATGGCTTTGATTCTGGGCATGGTGACGGTTGGTGACCGCGCATACGCCGTGAAAGGTAGGGCGGCACCATCGCGGATGAGCCTATAACATGGTTAACACGGTGAGAGTGAGACGGTGGGGTAGTCGTCGGCGTACTCTTGAGTGTATGTGAAGCCGGTGCCATTCAAGTATACGAAGTCGCTGTGATGATGTTAGTATTGTCAAAAACCTGGGGGCACTGTGAGCCGCATTTACCTTCGCAACGCATCAACGACCATAAAAATGAGGCGGTCGAAGGGTGCCTGTGGCGGCGGGCCAAATTCAAGGGCCTCATATTGAGCCAAACCTGGTAGAACCGGCTTATACGGAAAGAAACCGGTAGCAAACGTGAAAACCGCCAGTGGAATCAGGATGTTGGCGATTGTGAGAAGAGCTGCCAGGAAGCCCGGGCCGTACCGAAAAGACATGTTCGTCGCGTATCCATCAAGATGACCTTTGGCCGCAGAATGGCAATACGAAAACCTCGTTTACTTTCAGTATATCATTGAAGTCGTCGAGTTGTTTGATGGCTTGAGAATAGAGTCATCGCGTTCAGAAAGCGGCTGCCTTATTCGATCATGATGCGACAAGGGATGAAAGGCGCGCGAACCATGGTGAGATGGAAGACGGGTGAAGTTGCCAATCTGCAGGCAACGGTGGCAGTTCCGTCAAGGTTCTCGGGATCCAGTCGCTTAGACCCCAAATGGGCAAAGCGAGTGCCCGGCAGGCGGAGCAAATAGCTAAAGAGTATGCGCAAGGTATCCGTAGGGATGGTAAGGTGTCGAGGTATGGAGTAATCAGGTAGATAATTACCCTGGTACATCGCTAGGCATGATGGACATAACAGGACCTCGGGAGCTGAGAGGACACTGTAACAGCTCTTGCACAGGGATGACATGCACCGAACTGGAGGGAGTCGCGCCCGAACGATGATTGGTCGAGAACATAGTAGGGGAGTCCGAGCAGAGAGAACCCCGGCCGATACGACCAGTAGGTAATATTGTTCCGCTTCACCCGGCACAGGACTGAGTATCAATGAATGAAGTACGTTGAAATAGTATTGAACGTGGAGTAATTGGAGGTTGATAGTGATTTTTCATTATTCGTCTGGCAGCTATTTGGCCATGCCCAGCGTTATGTCTACCGGTCTATCAACTTTTTGACCGCGTCTCCAATGTACTCTCTCAATGGGGTGAAAAGTGTGAAATGACCCCCCAAAATAACCGATGAAAATTTTAGTATCCCACTATTCACAAGAACGCCGGAAAAGGAATTGGATATGTCCAGGAATGAGTTCCTCATCACGAGACTCGCCGAGTGAGCGCGCTACGATTTTTCTTGATCGAGCGCGACTCTTCGCCCATGATGCTGCAAAAGGCGAGGGGAATAACCAGTGAAAGGACAACAAGCCTTCACTTTCTCTTGGAAACTCCGCCCTTGGAGCCTCCGCGACGATCGCTGTACTTGGGGAAGACGACCTTGGAAGTCTTCTTCCTTTGCTTCTGAATTCTTCCAGAGCGACGCTTGGGTTTCGCCGTGTCAACGTCCATGGCTGTGACGAGAGTCAGTCTTTGTGACGGGAATTATCGACTGAGCTCAGCTTACAGGTGTCATCCGCCTTGGCCTCCTTCTTCTCATCGTCACCGTTGATTTCCGCTTTTGGAATGTCAGTTTCGAAACTTTTTGCCTCATGGAACTGCCTTGGAAAATGGCTGGGAACTCACCATCGTCGTCATCCTCAATATCCATCTTGGTGTCTGCCTCCCTCTCAGGCTTGGGGGCCTTTGCCAATTCTAGCAGCTTCGCCGAGAGACGCTCGGCTCTGGCCTGCTCAACGGGACCAAAGACATTTGCCTTGAGTCTCTGGTTGTTCTTCTTGATAACGCTGGCTCTCGCGCTTTTGGCCATTGCTGCGGATATGTACCGAGCGGTGTGGTGTTTATGAAGGATTTGAGGAGACGTCTCACTGTGTTTATACAGGCAAGAAGTTAACAGCAGGCTGAGTGAGGAACAACCTTGATATGTCTTGGATTACTGAGAAATGTCGAGTATTCAAGTCGGTAAGAGTAACCATGTGAAAGCAAACGGTCTTCACTGAGTGATGATAGGAAATTTTACACAGGTGGTTGCAGCCGTGCCCCGCCTGCCAATCCAGTCGTCCAGTCAGGAAGGGTATGCAGGCCGCAGCGCTTTGGACGGCAGCAAAACCATCCTGGCGTCTCACTCACATGGGCTAGACCACCTTCACCTCAGTCAATCGGCCGTCGCAGGGGCTGCCGGCTATTGACACCCCCACATTCTTCCAAACACCTGGAAGGCGCCTCTGGCTGGCGGTGGTTTCCAGAACGGGACGGGCAATGACCCAGGAATTTTGGTTTCTCAAATGCGTTGTCTGCTTCTTAGGGGACACAGATGCTGAAACAACGGCTGACCGCCCACTAGAGAGTCATCGGTTCAGGCTTTCACTTGCCCGACGGGGTCGTTCAACTTCATACTCTCCCCTAAGAAAGACCACACAGAGCCGCCATTTCCTGCCTACACACTTCCCAGCCAGTGTCCACACCATCATCGAGTCTCACTAATTGTGAATCTCACCTCAGCACTTCCCTTGGATAACTCACCTTCACGCTTCACTTGCTTTAATTTAGGCCCACATCCAGAATACGGCTTGATTGCTGCTGTAGTCGCAAGGTATTCAGCTGTGGTGGGCTCCTACCCGTTCAGTAACACCCGTCTTCACAGAGCCCCCAAAGGCCGATAGTCGCGGATGACATCAAACCTTTGCTGACTCAAGAAATGGCCCCTGGCCTAGTTTGACCTCACTTCATCTGTACGCTGGACTAATGCCATTGCTCTTACCTTGGGCGTCGATATCATATTCATATTACTGCTCGATGCAATAGAGTTCGTATCGGTGGGTAAGCGCACAAACAATTTCGCACACATCAGGGTCGTTACCTGCTATCGTTGTCGCATTTGGGAACATTGGTATATCCCTCTGCCTGTCTCCATTATCACAAAGCCGAGAGTGAAGAAGGAAAAAAAAAAAAGACGGGAAGGGCAGCGCAGCAGCAGAGCCGCCACCACCACCACCAACCCACCGAGCAGTACGGGACGGGAGCTACCTACCCTGCCCTTGCCTTCCTCGACCGACCCGACTGCAACTTCCCCACGCACTTTTGGCTCTTGCCTGTCGGCGCGCACCACGAGCCTCGTCGCTCCTGCCTCGTGTGGTCGCGCCCATGACTGTTATTTTCACTTGAGGCCTGTCGTTCTCCTTCTCTTCTTTGCTTTCCACCCATTCCTCGGCCGACGACTTTGACGCAGACAGGTATCCGCCACCTACCCCCACGGCCTGTCGACGGCGCCTCTAGGTACCAACGACCGAAGTCGATCCGACGTCGCACCTGCGAACCTTCATGAGGCCGTCACCGAAGACACCACCACAACCCTTTCACCTCGCCCGAGAACCATGACCTCCATACAGAGGCATGAGCTCCAGGCTCTGGTCAAGCTGGTGAACAGCAACCAGCTTCTGAACCGCCAATTATCCCAAATTTGTCAGCTCAACGGGCTCACTAGCAGCGGCGTTAAGGCGGCTCTGCAAAGTCGCATCGTCAGTGGTGAGTACTTTTCCTTCTTGAGCCCTTTCGGCCGCCTGAGATACCTCCTTTTGCGCCCCTTCTCTGGCTCCAGCTGTTTCACGGGCGCTGTCGTGTCTGAGCATTGCTCCAGGCAGCGAAGTTTGCTTCTCAGAACGACCAAAGGCTAACATCTTTTGTCCGTCAGCTATCGAAGAAGCCTTCAAGAACAGCGACGCGACTCGCTTCCAGCAAATCCAACGAAGCATCGAGACCACAAGGACCGGCTCCTCCGCTTCGCCCGCCTCTCAAAAGAGTGGACGTCCCGCCACAGCGACTCCGCCAGTGTCAATGATGCGGCAAGACCAATACTGGGGGCGCAATGCCCGCCCCAGCGGTGCGAATGGCCCTGCGCTGCCCGGGTATGGATCAAGCGGTACGTCATTCCCTCAAAAGTCCTTTGAACAAACGCCTAACTTTGATGCAGGACTCTCTTTCAAGAACAGTCCCTTCTACGAGATCCAGTTCCGGGTCGGCGATGTGCGCTCGTGCGAGGGTAGGTCGCCATTTCATGTTTCATCTTGGTCGTTGCTAATTTCCCAATCAGCTATGAGCCAGCATAGGAACATGGTCTCGATTCCAGTCAAAGTCAGCGATAATCTCAATCTGAACAGAGTTCTCGATGACAAGTCACTACGCATCATGGTCTTCTGCGCCGGAGATAGCAATGGCGTCCAGGATATCGCGTTTCCCCATCAGTCGGAGATCAAGGTCAACGGTAATGAGGTCAAGGCGAATCTCAGAGGCTTGAAGAACAAGCCAGGCTCGACAAGGCCAGTCGACATTACGAGTTATTTGCGTCTGAAAAATGACAACAGAAATCTCGTTGAGTTCACCTATGCATTGACTCAAAAGGTGGGTTGCCTCAGATTTACGAATCTCAATACCCTGCTCCGTCTTTTACCGCTGACACTTAATTTGTTTGCAGAAATTCTATCTTGTCCTGAACGTCTGCCGTATCACCTCGGCGCAGGACCTGGCCGACAACATCAAGAAGGGGCAGAAGATCCCCAAAAACAAGGTGATTGAGGAGAGTACGTTTTGCCGCTTTACTCCAATATTATCAACAAGAGACTAAAACCCTCCAGTCAGCAAGAAAGCGGCGGATACAGATATCGTTACGACATCTCAAGTCCTGTCTCTTAAGTGTCCTCTATCCTACATGCGTCTTGATGTCCCGTGCCGCTCTGTCAACTGTTCGCACATCCAATGTTTCGACGCAACGTCGTACCTCCAATTGCAAGAGCAGGGCCCTCAGTGGCTTTGCCCGATTTGCAATAAACCGGCGCCATACGCACAGCTGGCCGTTGACGAGTAAGTCCCATGTATCGCCCCCACGATTTCTAGCTAACATCCGTCGAAGGTACGTAAGAGACATCCTAGCGAACACATCAAAGTCCCTAGATCAAGTCACCATTGAACCAGACGGACAGTGGCGAGTGAACACAGGACAGGCCGAGAACAGGCCGACCAATGGTGGAAGCGGCCTTGTTGACGAAGACGATGATGACGACGACGACGACTGGGGTATCGTGGAGGTCAACCCAGTTCGCAGTCGAAACTTCGAAACTCCCAACCGGTCAGTCGCCAGCACGGCAACTCCGACGACAACGGTGATGTCTCGAGAAAGCTCGACGATGCCGCGGGGCGTGGCCACAACAAGCGCCAAGAGACTGCATTCGGATAGGGTGACAATAGACCTGACCCTATCAGACGATGATGAGCCAGCCGCACCGCCTCCGAAGCGGCAACAACTACAGGGGCCGGGATCGAGTAACTACAACAGCAATGGTTACAGTAGCAGCATGTTTTGAGGAGGCCACCCCGGCAATCTCTATCAACGAGCTGCGAGATATGGAGCATGAGGTTAGCCGCCTCAATCAGCACGTACATACTTCCCTACCTAACGAAGGCGGATTTGTGGCTCATGTATGTGTTCTTTCTTTGGGCGTGGAAAGGGACGGATGGATAGCTGTCCAGGCGTTTAGGAGGCAAAACATATTCCAACAGCCCCAACAGCCTTATGCCAAAGGCATGAATCAGGGCGATAGCAGGCGTCTGAGCAAAGCTCTACTTAGATGTGAGGTAGATGCCTCAGAAACTTTGCCAGTTTGGTACCTTAGGAAAGCGAGGGATACAAATACCAAACACTACGCTACGGATATCACATCCGTATAATGAGATGAAATCACTCTGAGGACTCTCCTCTTCGTCTACGTCCATCATTACCCGTCCGTGATCGTGTGCCAACATAACGTGCAAGTTGTCTACTGTAATCCCTGTCGAATCGGAATTGGAGCTCTGGTGGGTGGACCCTGAAGAGCTTAGAGGCCAGCTCCACGGCGTTCCATGTCAAATCAGGTACGTGCCCGACCTCGCTCTTTCAGGTACCTACCTACCTAGGTAGCGGCTTCAATCGTTCATCCGCCTCCAGCTACCTGCTACCTACCTTGAACCGCACATTGGCCTCGACGAAACAGTGTCCAAAACTGCTCCTGCGATTTCCTTCAAGCGCCATTGCATCAACGTCATCTCTGATTCCACGCCGAACTGACTCTTACGAACTTCGCTGCCTAGTCTCCATTGCCTTGGATCAACACCAAGCTTGCATCGCAATCGAGCCCCACACAGACAAACGAACCATACTCGAGAGAGCCAATAACCGCGCGAAACCCTCCTCGACGAAGCCAGGAACCATAGCGACTATTCTTCCACGCCCATACCACAATCAGCTTCCCAGCCAGCAAGAAGCCATGTCCTTCGAAAGCGTCATGCCGCCGTACAACGCCACGGACCCGTCGGCCTCCTTCCTTAACTCCTCCTGTCTCGACTTCCTCCTCATCGAGCTCGTGCCCATGGCCTTTCGCGTGACGAGAGACCTCGAAGCCGCGCCGACTGATGCGAATAGTGCCGGTGGGGGCGCTGCCGCTGCAGGAGGAGGTGCTTCAGCTGACGCGCTGTCGACGGTGAGCCACAGTCAGGGCGGGGGGGCCGACGGAGGTGCTGCGCCGTCGAGCGCGGACGGGGCTGCGGGCGGGAGCACAGTCAGGAAGCTGGATGAGGACGAGGAGCGGGATGCGGTGTTTTATCGGCTTGAGACGCTGGGATATCGTGTTGGGCAGGGGCTTGTTGAGAGGTACGTTTCCTCTTGTGCCTCCCTCCTCTTCCTCTGTGCGCCGCCTTTGGCGATAGCAAGGGGGGACGAAGACACAGTATTGGGATTTTACAACGATTGGAAGCTGACGGTCTATGAACTTGGTGTTCAGATTCTCGAGAGACCGGCCACGATTCAACGATACGCTCGACGTCATCAAGTTTGTCTGCAAGGATCTTTGGTCGCTTGTGTTTAGAAAACAGATTGACAACCTCAAGACAAATCACAGGGTACGTCAGCGATATCCCCTCTACCTATCGGAAGGCCTGGTCAAGGGCGACGCTCCAGACAAGCGACTTGGGAATTGGGTGGCTGATCTAGTCCGTTGGAATAGGGCGTTTACGTACTGACAGACAACTCGTTCAAACCTTTCTCGAGAATGAGTACAGAAGCTGGCGGACAGGCGGTTGTTCGGGCACAGCCAGTACGTCTAAACCCACGCCGATCTATCAATATGATGACCTACAGGGTGCTGACTTGTCTGGCTACAGTTCCTCTGGTTCCCGTGCGGGATTGTGCGCGGAGCGCTAGCGGCGTTAGGTATCAACGCAACCGTCCAAGCCGAGACCAACGAGCTACCGGCAGCTATTTTCCAAATCAAGACCCTGCCGTCAAGCACATAATACCCAACTTCACGTATCAAGAAGCCCCTGTCCCAAACAAATGGCGCGTGGGGAAACCATAGAGAAGTGTCAATGACACAGCATGCAAGCGTTAAAAGAGTTTAGACTTTTTGCAGAGTATCGACCAAAGATCTGGTCATTCGAGTTGATGCCCAAGGTGTCTTACTCCAATTATAAACCAGCAGCAATTATCGCCATATCCAAAACTACCGACGCCGTTGCCCTACGTACGCGGACTCAAGAGAATCCCAGCTGGTGTTATATACGCTGGTCAACCATACACTTGCGAGACCAATAACACCTCACAGCCTAGGAAAAAGAAGAGTCGATCAGCCATAATTCTCCCTCGGTTGTATTTCATCTATCACCATTTTTTTTTGGCTACATTGTTGGAAGCTGTTGTCATGCGGCTTCCTCGAGAGGGGGTCGGGGGCTGTTACTGGAAACAAGTGTACAAAGGGGGGAATCACTTTTGGGGAGCCTTGTGGGCGAACTCGACACCCTTCTGAATGTTGCCCTTCAATCCTGCAACCGCAGCCTCCAGAAGCTTCTGCTCCTTCTCTGTGATGTCGCCAAGAATGTCGATGGCCTTCTCAGCACCGTTGGGCTACGAATATGTCAGTGTTGGATCCGTTTAGATTTGAACAGGGGACAGGATGGAATGCTGTGCAACTTACGCCAAGCTCGATGGGAACGGAGAAGAAGTCGACGCCGGTCTTCTTGGCAATCTCCTCGCCGCCGGGAACGCCGGGGAGGTAGACGTAGCTAGGCTCAACAAGACCCTTCTCGCCCTTAAGGGCCTTGAGGACCTTCTCGGCGAATCTATCACACGTCAGTCCCTGACCTTTAAGTTGTCGAGCGTCCGATTTCTTACCTGTAGCCAGCGTAGGCCATGGAGAGAGTGGCAGAACCAGCGCCGTCCTTGGCCTTGACAACCTCGTCACCACCGAACTGGACACGGTTGACGAGAGCATCGTACTTGTCGTCGGCGATGGACACTGAAGGCTTGACCTTGCTGAAGAGGGGAACAATGGTCTCGCCGGAGTGACCGCCAATAACGGGAACATTGAGTTCGCTGGTGGACTTGCCGGAGATCTCGGCAACGAAGGTCTCGGCTCTGACAATGTCGAGAGTTGTGACACCGAACAGACGCTGAGGGTTGAAGACGCCCTTGGCCTTCAGAACCTCGGCGGAAATAGGGACGGTGGAGTTGACAGGGTTGGAGATGACAAGGATGAAGGCCTTGGGGGCGACCTCGGCCGCAACCTCGATGAGGCCCTTGACGATACCGGCATTGATGTTGAAGAGATCGTCGCGGGTCATGCCAGGCTTGCCTAGAGTGGATTTGCCGTTAGAAAGAAGCAGCTGACGAGGCTCCGCAAGTGTAACTCACGAGGAATACCAGCGGGAATGACGATGATATCGGCATCCTTGAAGGCGGCCTTGGCGCCATCATCCTTGGGCAGGTAGCCAGCGATTTTCTGTTTGCGGCATCTCTGTTTAGCAAGCTATCGGTACTACGGGTGCCACGAGACAATTGAGACTGCGATGAAACGTACCGCATTGGAAGAGATGTGGGAGAGATCGGTGGCGACGCCGGGGGTGTTGACGACATCGTACAAGGCAAGCTCATCGACGAGGGGAGAGAGCTTGAGGAGGAGGGACAGAGGCTAGAGTAGACAGGTTGGTGGTGAGCAATGCGAACGTTATTTGCTGACCACGCGGGGTTCCGGATTCACTGTACCTGTCCAATACCGCCGGAGGCGCCAGCAACAACTAAGAAATGATTAGATTGACGAGGCTTTGCGCGATAGTCTCAGGTGGTGGGAACATACCGGCCTTGACCATTTTGATTGTGATTCTTGTTATTCGGTTTGAGAAAGGAGATGGATGAAGGAGGAGGGTGGCCTGAGGGGTTCTCGCGGATTAGCGGGGTGATCTTGGAGCTTTGCTCGCTTAACATGTCGAGCTCTGGCGCATGGTACGAGACCAAGTGTGGGGAGCTCTCGCTACAATTATCCAAGCTTGTCAAGTACTAAGGTGAGGGGGAGAGAGAGGTCATCGTCAAACGTACAGTAGTCACGTAAACTGAAGGTTTTGCTGGTAAGATGGAAGATGTATGAAGATGAATCTCACAAGAGCGGGAGATCGTTTGCTTTAGTATGAAAAGGGAGAGCAAGAGAGGAGAAGTAAACCGAGCCAAGGTTACGTAGAAGTAGTCTGAGCCAGCTGATACCTAGTCCGGAGGCTGTCGGCGGGGACGTAGGTTCAACCGCGGGGAGAATTGCGACCTTTGGTTTCCCACCCCTCGTTCCGTGGGACTTTGCCTGTGTCATTGGATGGAGGGGTCAAAAAGAGGGGCAACTTGGAGGGGTGAGAAGGGGACCATGGGGGGCCGCTCCTGAGGCAGGGCAGGCACGGGGAGTTCAAGTTTCCATTGTAGCTATTGCACGCTCCTCCATCGCTCCTCGAGGTGAGGTGGTAGCGGCGGCAGGCGCCAGTAATGCGCAGAAAAGCGACTCGACAGCAGCACTGCGCGTGTAGTTACCTTACGGCATTGTACCTCATGTACTGCGCCGCTGCACCCAGCAAGCCCGATCCCGTAGCTTATACTTGCGCGGTTGCGGTGCTTTATTAGCCGGACCAGTTGCTGCGTTGCTGCTTGCTCGCTGGCCCTGCTGATGCTGCTGCTGCCGCTGTCTCGGGCTGCAGAGTGGACAAAGAGAGGAGCGAGTGTAAGGTACCTTCCGGCTTGCCGCACCAGGGAATAGCTGTCGCAGATACCTCGTCATTCGACCCAAACAAAGGCGGCCACTGAGACACGCCCAGCCCATGGAAGCAGTCGCTGAAGGAAAGATAAAGATACATTCTACAGGTACCTACCTTAGGTGCTCTGGATGTTTCCCGCCCACTGCCCAGTGCTTGCTCAATACTTAGCATCGATTGCGCCAATCCCCTGCCACCAACGTCCTGCAACCAATTGCAACATCCGTCGTCAACCCGTTTTGTTCGCCATTCACCTCCGGTCTGATGCATGTGAGAGACGGACGAGGCTAACACGGTAATTCGAGGCTCGATCTCCCCCGTCAACTCCCGGCCAGCTGGACCAATGCCTTCCGATGTTTTCCTGCTGATGAACGGTCCCCCGTCCTCGTCCCGATGTCCCGATGTCCCGAGCTCCAGGGGTAGCTCGTTCCTATGTATAGCCAAAACTCGGGTGTGGGAACGGTAGAAACAAGAGCCTAACACAAAGACGGGCCCCATTATTCCTATGGGAAGCCTGTGACATGCTTCAGATCGTGATAGCTATCATTATCCTCGGCGATGAGACAGCTGGGCAAAACATAACCTACGGGCCCTGTCTGTGGTGTTTGGGCGGGCGAATAGCTCACTAAAAATACATATTCACTCATCGTTGCTTCTACGAGGTTAAGATCTTGCTCATGGAAGATGTAAGAATTACCTACACTGCGGCACGAATTATTCACAATATCAAGAGTACGTACCGTTGTGTTAGAAATGCCATGTTAGGAGCACCTATGCAACCCCGGCTGGCAAAATTACCCCGCCATGTATGCGCAGGTGCCATTCCACGTATCTCGATCAGGTCAATGTCGGCGAAGACTTACTCCGTGCAAGACGTAGAAGCGTCCCTGTCTTTCATCATTCATCAACACTCCAACAACAAACTGCAATCAATATACCGCTTCACTACACAATACTTTTGGGGGGCAACGTAGGAAGATGGTATGGCTCAAGCCGGAATGACACCCTCGACATTCCGATGCTTGCCCGTGGTCCCGAGGTTCAGCAGGAATTCGCTCTCTACTCTAGTCGGGCAACTCCGGGTAAGGGCCGAGGACCACGGCATCGACAACACCATGACCCGTAGTCCGGCTACTGTGCTATCTCGATGTCGGCCTCTTCGATCACCCTCACTCCACTCCCACTCCGAGCTTTCCCTTTCTGTGCAGGCGCGCGTCATGGCATAAGATAAGGTATACTTCAACATGCATCATCATCATCGCCCTCCCAAGTCGTTGGCCCAGAGCCTCACAAATCCCTCACACGCATGGCATGAAATGCGAAGGGGGGAAGCAGCAGCACTCGTTTGGAGCAAACGAAAAACCAGTCCCAGTCATTATTTTGTGGCCTTTGACTCAAGCTTTTGATTTGTTTCGCCTGTGTCCCTCAAAAAGGTATTCTCTATTTGCTCGACGTAACGCCCAAACCAAGCCTGTTTCTTTCTCTTTTTTCGTCCCGCTAAATCAGCATCTCAACATTTATGCCTCAGCCTCGGCGGCGGCGGCGGCCTTGGCCTTGACACCGCGGGGCTTCTTCTCGGGGGTGGCCTTGACGGCGCGCTGGGAGCGGCGGATGGCAGAGACGCGCTGGACAGCGGCCTCGCGGAGGTCGCCACGGTAGCCGCCGGCGGCAGCCTGGCGGGCAACGGCGGAGTAGGTCCTATGGTTCGACAGCCGTCAGTCATCTGTTTGTTCTCCTGAATCCTCGTGCTTGCCCCGTTCCATGTGCCGCATTACGACAACAAGTTTGTGGTTGTAGCGGTGGTCCAAAACTCACTTGCGGGAAGACTTGTTGCCGCCGTAGGTGACCTCGGTGTAGCCCTTGGAGGGCTTGTTGAAGTTCTTCTGGTTCTTGCTGATCACCTTGACACCACCCTTCTCGTTGGGGACAACGCCGATGGCCTACTCGTCACATGTCAGTCATCTCTGTGCTACGTGATGTTGCGAAGGATCGAATCGTTCGAGCGAGGGAGGAATATCGAGTTCGATCGGCCTGGGGTGTAATCGTACCTTGTCGTTGACGAAACCGGCGTACTGCGATACAAGTTAGCCAAAGATGCCCTTCAGCCCCGCCAGTATTCTGACGATTCGATCCCAACATACCTTGCGGGAGTGCTTGTTGACCAGGTTAAGGGGGTCGCGGGAGAGCTGGAGACCGCCGGCGTCGTTGCGGTTGACCAGGAACGCATTCTGGGCGCCTGTATCGAGAAAACAAGCAGGTGTGAGCAAAATTGCGCATTCAGATCGAGTTCGGCATCGCTGACAGCCGGGCGCCGCGGTGAAACTTACGGACGACCTCCCAGATCAGGTCGGCGGAAACGTTGGGCAGAGTGGCGGCCATTTTGACTGATTTGAGGGATCACGGAATGGTTGATGAATACCTTCACGATTGCTCTGATGCCGGTCTGCGTGTTCGTAGAATTCAATGGCCTGAATTGAATGTGTGGGCTATCGCTTAGCAGTCGCTTTGCGGACTAGCGTCTCTTGGGTCCACTCATTTCATCGGCGACGCCACACCGAGTCCCCTCCGGGGCACAAAAGCCCTCCCCGGCGGGCCAGTCTGGATGTGGCTGGTGATGGCGGTGCAGTTGCATCCTGAACCGGCTCGAAGTACAACCTCGTCCTCGTCATATAAGTCGACCGCAATTGCGATTACGTATTTCCAACTACACGAACTCAATTATCAAATGTACTAGTACGCGGTAGGCTCAAGCTCTTTTTTGGTCGGTTCAGGATTCAGAAAGTCGAGTATTGCGTCTCTTCCAACATATGTGGCTAAGCTCAAAAACTTGACAATTGCAAGCTAATATCAAGATAGTATATCATAAAGCGCGGTCCTTGGATAAGGCCTGTAATGTTTGGCCTTCTTTTCTATACTATTTCTAGTATGTCCTGATTTCCTAATTGATAGCATGTTTGAATTACGGCCTAGATCGGTCAACTCAACGGGCGAAATATTTATGGTATTAATCCGAGGTACAAAGGTGAACCGCACATCTAGTAACGACACACTCCATGGTGTTGAAGTGCCTAAAGTTTAGGCATATCTCCGGAGAATCTTCGCTGACTATCAATGCTTTAGTACTGAGTGTAGCTAATGGTTACCGTTCAAGTGATTTATATAAATCCATCATTCGGCTCGATGTCATGCCATCGGGTCCAGCCTACATATCCGGTAGGCACATCCCAACGCCAGGCCATAGCATCTTATCCTCTCATGAAAAATCATTGGTCTTGTATGGGCGCATTTATCCAGTCTCTTGTGTAGTACTTCATTACAACGGGTATAGTACGTTGACAAAGAGGCCAACTTTGCCAATCCTAAGGTATTTAAGGCACTGCATATCCATTGTCGATCCTCCACTGCAAGGCAGTCGAATTCGTCTATGAGATGCACTGCCAAGGTAGGTACTCTAGCTCACTTCACCATCTGGCTCGACAGAATGATTCGTCTTTGTATACGTGCACAATGCCAAGCAGGTAAAAGTCGCCGGTCTGTGGCTCTCACCTGGATCGCCGTCTTCTTTCAGAACTTATTCCATATTGTTACATCATCTCATCATGTTAGTCGACGATATTCTCGTTCGTGAGCCATCCAGAAGGATAACGGCGACAAAGCGGGTTGCCTCATGGGCACTTTTAAGGGGCTTTTCACTCTTAAATACACAGTATCGCTCTACTGCGGGACTATGAAGTTACATTATTCACACCATTGATTTCCCATCTAGAGGCAAGGTCTATCTATATGGGAAATGATCTTATGGCAACACCTCTCGTCTGCGGGTATGTAATCGTCATGTTATCCCAGCAAGCTACCGTTTCGACATAATATCGGTTCCACATCGTGACCATGACATGTATGGTCCAACTGCTGATTACACCTATATGTTCGAAACCCACCGGATATCTCTAGAACTCGAATTATTTCACAGGCAGTATGTCAGAATAGCTCTGTTGCTTTTGGGAGCAACCCCCCCCCCCCCCCACACCATTCAGGTTGAGACAAGCGATGGAATACTGTATGATATAGATACAGCTACTCTATCATTGGACATTTAGGCAACACTGTCTACAAAAAAAGTATGGACATTTACTATGTAGGCGCCGAAGCTGAGGTACATTCGCTCTTCAAGAGCAAACCTTCATCGGAGGCTGCCGCCTTTCTCAGGCCGGACGAAGGTATCCAAGTTGCGAGCGCCGGTGAGCCCCAGCTACCGGGATAATCAAGTTTCCAGGGGCCGAGCTTTGGGGTACCTCTTGGGACTCTCTTATGCAGAAGCCTTAGTTACGCGTGTCATGGAAATTGCCTTTCACCTCCTGGTTGCGTGGCCTCAACCACGAAGAGTGGTATTAAGAGCATGTCCACAGATAAGGTAGTTGAAGTAACTCATGTAGAGTCTTCACCGACCTTGACATAGTCACATACAATGAAGACCAGGAACGCAATGTAAGGACTGAGTCGGCCCTGAGATCATTTACTGGTCTCCAGCTTTGTTCGTCGTGGAAGGTACGGATACATGGCAGCTTCAGCACGTCCCGTGGCCCAGCTGGCGGGGGCGGAAGTATTCACGTGATGCAAATGGAAGCTTGCCCGTCGGCATCCGTAACGGTCTCCCTGGCGGCCCAGGCCCCTGCCACGGTACCCTGCGCTTGCCCTGCGCCCAAGCCTTACAAGTTACGTACGTAGTACGCCTTCGAATGCTCCAAGCCCGACCTTAGTAAGTGGATCCCCATGGAAGTCCAAAAGCTGCAGGATCAGACGGGATTACGGGGGGCAGTGACAGCCCGAGTCCACCTTCAGCGACGCTGAGTCCCTGAGGGCTCTCTCCCATTTCCGAAAGAGGCCAACTGGGGAGCCTGGGTAGTGTTAGTGTCCAGCGCACTTACGCAGCCCGCACCACTGCACCTCCACATCATCGTACGTCGGTCGGTACGCCTGGCTCGTCGCCGAACTTCACCACTTACACTTCCATTCCGCATAACCTCACTCTGCTCTGGAGTCAAACGCGACCGTCTGTCTCCCTGCAGGTGCCGACATGATCCTTTGATCCTTTCGAACGGCAGTCTCTGACCGTTTGCGCCAAAACACCATTCTCTTTGTGACTTCTTTTTTCCACACTATTCATTTCCCTTGCCTTCCGTTCTGTTCATTCTAAACCACGACGATCACCACCACTACTAGCTTTTCGGAGCCTAGCCACTTAAGCAGCCGGCGATTGCGAAGCAACCACACCAGCGTATCGGCGACCAGCCCAACGTCATTCCATCTCGACCGCGCCCTCGAAAGCGAAAGTCGTCCAAAATGTCGTACCTCCTCTACTCCGTGTCGTTCCTCCTCCTCATCACCGCAACGGCCCTCTACTTCACCCGCGGCCACTGGCTCCACCTCGTTCCCGACCTCCCGATCCCCGGCCGCGACTACATCTACTCCCGCCTGCCCTCCTCCTTCGTCGGCGACATCGACGCCGGCCTCTCGAGCTCGACCTTTGACTTGGCGGGCAACGTTGAATCAGGCGATAGCCGCGCAGGGCTCGACGATCGCAGCAAGAAGGAGATTCTCAAGATCATGAAGAAGCGCCGCATGAAGTTCGACGACGCGCGCAGGGTGTACATGGAGCAGCGCTTCAAGGCCAACGGTATCGGACCGGATGGGAGGCCTTTGGATCCCAAGGCTGTCACGTTCAGCTAGGCGAGGCATGCACGAGCTACCGAGAGAGAGAGAGGAGGGAGAGAATGAGAGAGGCGACCAGGGGATACCCGATACAGACCGGGTAGGCGAAAAACGTCGTTTGCAGCATATGTTTGCACTACGATACGAATTACCGACGACTACACCATTATATCTCATTCGAGAGGAGGGAAATGACCATAAAGGATCATTTCTGATCACTTTGCACCGGAGCATAACTCAATATTCCCGAGCTTTCGCCTCCAACAACCACAAATCCTTCTAACGCGCCCAAACAGGCCACCGACTACTTTTCCCTGCTTATCAACTCTTCGACATTCCACTGCTTCCTAGGGCAAACAGGCGTTGCAGCGAGCTTTTCTTACCCTTCTCTTTCTTTTTCTATGTTGTTTGTTCTTGGGTTTCCCGGTGGTGGACGTTTCAAGGGTCTGGCTGACAAAGCCTTCTTTGCGCCGGTATGGATCGGCGTCTTCTTTTGGTATTATCTGTCAATGTAGAGCTTGCGTGATACAGCTTCAACGGATTTTCGCTCTTGTTACCTTCACGTATTCATCCTTTTTTTGACTATGTGACCCAACTTTTCACCCTGTCCATCCTACGAGACTGCACGGGCTTCCGGTAGTCCGGTAGATGTGACACTTGAGTCCTTCTTCTCCTCGACATTTGCCAGTGTGTCCTTCAAACCTCATGTCATTCTGGAGTTGGCATTCTGGAACATCTAGAGGGTCCAGTTGCGCTACTAGCTATTATACCCTGGGTCCATCCATACCTGCAGACCGTCAGATGGCTTCGCTCCCATTATATCACCATCATCCGTCCGTATCGCGCCCGGCATTCTATTTAGCCGATTCATATATATACACAATCAAAGGTATGGCAAGAGCCAAAGTATTACAAATATCTAGAAAGTGATTTCTTCAGCTGTTCACTTGCGGCTGGCTTCATGCGCTGAGCGTGTCCAGCACACTTTAGACTGGCTCTCATTTCGTCTTCTTCGCCTCGGCGGCAACGTACTGGCGGTCGTCGTCGCCCTCAACCTCCTTTTGGATGTCTTCCATCTCCTTCATGTTGGACTCCCACGTCTCCTTGGCCATCTTGGTCTTCTTGTTGAACCAGGCTAGGTCGGGCTTGCGGTAGGTGCCGCCGAGACGGTCCCAGAGGGTAGTGAACTGGCCGTAGTTGTAGCTGCCAAGTCTGTTAGAAAGTGCGAAGCTCTCGGGTCTCTCACGTTGTCAGAAACTTACTTGAAGTACAAGTGGTGGGCGGTGTGGCACGCTGAGCCGTTGATGATGGGGTTGTCGGTAATGTACTCGCCGTCGTGTATAAGAATTGTCCAAAAGTTGATAAACACAAACAGTGCGACGTATGCCAGCTTGTTGAGAGGGAACAGCATCGGGTAGATGTGGTACGGGACCGACTGCGCGAAGCCGTCGAGGGGGTGGAAGGCGTGGCTGGCGTAGGGCGAGGGCATGATCCACTTGTGGTGAGGCTTGTGAAGGTGCTTGTAGACGAGTGGGAGATGTAGCCATCGATGAGCCCAGTATATGCACAGGTCGGTGAAGAGGATGAAGAGCGGGAACTGCGCATAGTCGTACCAACGGCCGGGGCCCTCCTCTGTGGTATCGTAGAGCTTGCAGTAGCCGCGCACTTCG